TTACATTACACATATTTGGCATTCTTAGTTCAGAGGTTTAGTTCATTATGAACTACAGGTTTGTTGTGTTCAGGACATTAGCTAAAAGTTGGCCATCTTATTGTGCATTGCTAGAAACATAACTTGTATTAGATGTCAATGTTCAGGAGTTGGGCATCCATCTAGTGGCAATCGATGTCTCCATAATCTTTCAGAACATATTAGGTGCTCAGTCGATGCTCTGAAAATTGAAATAGCAGTGTTTGCTTCACTTGAATCTGGTCAGGTTGGACCGGCATGGGGCACCACCTGTCTGACAGGTGGGTCTGACTTGGGGGAAAAAGGACTCGGTGGCTTGCGCCGTGCACAACTTTAGTTACAAGAATGCAACGGTGTTACAATTAATAATTAAGAATTATTAATAATTTGACCGACAATTTTTAATTGTTGCAATACAATTTTTTTATTGTTGTACTTCCTCCGTTTCAAATTATTAGACGTTTTGGCTTTTCTAAATTCAAAGTTTTTACTACGCACCCAGATATATATTATATCTAGATACATAACAAAAGCTATGGATCTAGAAATGTCAAAACGTCTTATAATTTGTGACGGAGGAAGTACTTTGCAATCAGATTTACTATACAATAATGATAGGCTTATAACCATAAATAATTATAATAAAAAAGAAATGAATTGTGAAAATATAACTTAGGGGACTGTTGCATGTCAAATTTTGTCTTATAAACTGGACGGGATGCAATACTTGTTAGCTCATGGGCAACGGATAAATACGGTTGTGTCCTTAAAAGGAAAGTATATTGGTACATGTATAAGCAATGCAACATTGGTTTTTTTATGATGTGGAGAAAAGAGAGAAAGATAAGAGGAGATAAGAGAAAGAAGTAGTTGTATCGAAGCAAAGGCCTCATAAGCTAAAATTTTGAACTATGAGACAACTTATGAATCATTGTACTACAAGTGGTGGTTGTTATGCAACTCATAAACCTTACTTTGTTCTGTGCACAAATTAAAGATTCTAAATTACTAGGAGACAACATAAACGGCAATCTATTGTAGTAGTTGCTAAGTCGTCTCGATACTACGTGACTGCTACAATGATACATATGCTGAAGCATTTTGAATTCAGACCAAAGATAGGTTGCCATGTCAGATCTCCAAGGAACATCTTGAACCATTCAGAATTCTAGCACAGCAACAGTAGAGGAAAATGAGTGTCCTGAATCATAGAGGAAACAGGAAATCAAGCGAATATACTTAGCAGAGGGAAGGTTCTGAAACAACAACATCAATTCATTTAGAAAATTCTATCAAGAAGTCTGACTTAAATGCTAAGAAATAACACAGTAAACACTCTCGAAATTCTACTGAAGCAGGCCAGATTTGTTTGTTCAGAAAAAGAAAGACATGGAATACATCAGATTTTATCTCAGGCTACAATCATGAGTGATTCACTCGATAAACTGACTAAATGACCTTGGAAACATACTCTTCTATATCACTCTGAACTTCCTAACTGAAACACATATATATACTAATTGCACTGGGTCTGCAAGATGCTGACAATAGTGTTGCTCAAGTTAATGAATTGATCACTACATGCTCACTCAAATGCAGGAGAGCTGCAGCACTAAATGCTCACTGATGGTTGCTTACACCAGTATGATGAGAATATGTTACAGCTAAAAAAATATGCATAAATAAGATAAAATTCATATGGAAATTTGAGTTTGGATGACTTACTATTTCATATGATTCTTTTAAGGTATTCCAGATTTGTTTAAACAGTTATTTTACCTGAGGTTAGAGGAGCAGCTCAAAGGAGCTCAAATACGATTTACTTTTTGTGTGTTGTGAACTGATTCAGCATTTCCACAACTTATTAAAAAGATAGCTAAAAAAAGTTCCTTAATTCACCCTGATGCTACAGGCTAATAAATTTGCTTGAAGATAAAATAAGAAGCCAGTGTAGGGCAATCTTCGGTGATCATACATGGATGGAGATTCTTTTAATTAACTAATCAAAACTGTTGAAGTGTGTTAGAATCATTAGCTTTTCAGAGACCACCTGTGCTAAATAATAAAATAGGATCCTAAAAACAATAGAAAACATGAAAGGAACGCAGACATGAAAATTTGAGAACATCTCATTCTTTTGTTATGTCTGCTACTGCTTCAGCAACCTGACAGCCTTCTGACCAAGTCACCACCTTATCATTGAGCTATAACTTGTTTGCTTGTAGTTAGAGCTGTTCACCGGAAGTTATCAAGCTACAATTGGATTAGAGGATGACTGCTACGAAAACATAATTATAGGGTTTAGGATCTGAAAAGTGAAGACGTTTGTTGCTTCTGGTTCCAACCAGCATATATAAGGGGCAGGTCCAGCAAGTACCATTCATACATTCTTACTATGTTACCAAACATTATTAATATCAAGCTCTAAGTACATGGCGCAGGCTGTGAGGACCAGAGAGTGACAGTGAAGCCAATACAGCATGGTGGCAGCTCAAACTCCCCAATTAAAATTTGTGTGGAAATTCTACATTAATGTTCATATAGACAAATTTGAGTAGCATATAGGTACTACCTACCATTAGCACAATATGGAAGTCAACTGGTGATACCAATTGGGACTGAGAAATCACATAAACTTGCATTGATAGTAATTGACTGACCAGTTAAAATATTTAGAATGAAGAATATTATTTTTTGATGAACATGGAGTGTATGGACGATGGTGAGTTTTCTTGCTGGAAGCACTTATTATAAGGTTAGTTTTTCTTACAAATGCTGTGTTTTACTTGCTGAATTTATCCCCTAGCCTGTTAATTTGGTTTGTGATCCAGGTTCTGGTTTGTCATTGGGCCAGAATTTTATCTGTGTTCTTCGACATTCTATAATCTAAAAACTAGCTGCCGCAAAATTCGAAATTTGGAATATATGAAATAACACTAGTAATAGCAATATATGGTACTCGCCTACAAATATTCCAAATTCCGAAATCTACTGCTACCCTACTAGTACTAGCAAGTAGTAAGTAGCAACAACAATAACCTGGAGTGCAGAAGCAGGTGAATGGCAGCAACCCATGCAAGCCGAACTCAAATCAATGTGCTCGCGCACGCACTGGCTTCTGGCCTGGCCCATTCAAACTGGGTCCGTGGGCCAGACCTATCAGAGACACACCCTCCATCGAGTTGGTCCAACCAGACCAACTCTGATAGGGCCACAACTTTGCAACTCTGTTTTTTCGCTCATTGAACGGCACTGCTCCTGCTAAGTCGATCTAAGTGCTCGGTGCAGGAGCAATCGGTGATCTGGTGTAGTGTTCAAAATGGATGAACTAGCTGCTACGGCCTATGAGTACAAGTGATCAGAAAGTACCATCAAACTAATGGCAAAAATGACATCAACGAAACATTTGTCTATTAGGTTATGCATGACTATAAAATTGGAGCACAGAAGCAGATGAATGGCAGCAACCCACCAAAGATCCAGTGCCTCAAGTAGTCATGTTAACTCCATTCTCCTTGAGACAATGAATTTAGAATGGGTAACCATTAAGGTTTGGTGTACATGGATAATTGGATAGAGTATTGTTGCATACGCGTGGTTCATAAGAATAACTAGTGTTTGTAAAAAATAAATAATGACAGGGCACGTGCCTATTTCAAATAAAATGAACCAGCAGGCTATCGGACAAATAAGTATGGGAATTAGCAAATGGAATACTTAGGATTTCTGTGGTCAGCATACTCTTCTATACAAAAACCAAAGAGAAAGATTCATGGTGGCAGCTTACCATCCCAAATAAATGTGGAGTTGGGGTTGGGGTTGGGGGAGGAACAAGGTTACATTTCAGGGTTTGGATCCTTGTTCCACATGACTTTATCATCCTGAATTCCTCATCAGCAATCACTCCTAGTAGAAACCTTGAAATTGCATTTTTCTAGACAAAGACAAGGTACAAGCCCACAACACCCTCATAAACATGTTTCTTAACTACCATTCTACATTAATGTTCATATATACAAATAAGACTTTCATATTGTGCTAATCGTAAGTACCTATTGCTACTAAAAAAAGTAACCACCAGCTTAAACTTGGTTCTCACCACAGAGGCATCTGACAATCCCTACTGGCACTGGCACTGGATTGAGAAATCACATAAAACTTGCATTCATAGCAATTTACTGGCTGACTCAAATATCTAAAATGGGGCCTATTATTTTGAGATGAACCTGGTGGCTGGAGGTGATGGACGACAAATAGTTTTCTTGCTGCAAGCACTTATTACAAGATTGGCGTTTCTTACAAAGGATCTGTTTTAATTACCTGCTGAATTTATTCCATAACCTGCTAATTTGGTTTGTGATCCAGGTCCTGCGGTTTTCGATTGTGCCAGAATTTTATCTGTCGTCTTCTAACTGAAAAGCAGAACACTGCTCCTGCCTGCCATGTTCGAAATTCTAAACTATAATAGCAAATAGCAATAACAGCTGCTACAAAATTCGAAATTCGGTATATATGAAATCGCACAAGCAATAAGCAATATCTGATACTCGTCTACAAATAATCTGAATTCTGAAATTTACTTGTAGCCTACTAATACTAGCAAGTAGCAACAGTAATAACCTGGAGTGCGGAAGCAGCTGAATGGCAGCGAGCAAACCACCCAAGCCGAACTACCGAAGTGGTTTTCAAGGTGCTCGCCCGACGCACTGGCTTCCGGCCGCCGTCGTAGGCGTGGTGGAGGACGCCGCGCGGCTGCTGGGGGCGGTGAGGGCAAGGGGAAGGTCGCCCCGACTCGCCGTGCTAATCCTCGGCCAAGCTGCTGAGGGCGCCAGACAATATGGGCCGGCCTGGCCCATTCTAACTCGGGCCAGGGGCCGGACCTACCAGAACCGGACCACCGAAGCAAGCCGCTTTCGGCCATTCCCCAATCTCCATTCCCCGAACCAAACCCTAGCTCCACTTGACTCCGGTAACGCCGCGGAATGGCGGCGCCGGCGGCGGCGTTGATGGAGATGGACGAGCTCGTCGAAGAGTTCCTCCTCCGCCTCCCACCGGACGACCCCGCGAGCCTCGTCCGCGCCGCCCTCGTCTGCAAGCTGTGGCGCCGCATCCTCGCCGGCCGTGGCTTCCGCCGCCGGTTCCGCGACTTCCACCGAATGCCGCGGCTGTTGGGCGTTGTCCACTGCAGAGGACGCGCCGCTCCCCGCTTCGCGACCACCTCCGCCTTCCGCCCGCGCAACGCCCTCCGGTTGTGGTACGTGCAGGACTCCCACCACGGCCGCATCCTCAGCGTCCACCCCTTGGATGGCAGCGAGATGGACGTCTGGGACCCCATCACGGGAGAGAAGCTGCAGCTGTGCTCTGCACCTCCAGCTGGAACAGCTCCTGCGACCACATCGACTGACGGCAGGCACTTCCTCGTTGTTTTCATAAGCTCCTCCCCACATCATGGGGTATATGTCTATGTCTACTCGTCGGAGGCTGGCTTCTGGGCGCTGACAGCCTCTGCTGCGCAGCACCCTGTGGACCCTTTCTATTTCGATCAAAATGAGCGCAGCACCCTTGCTGGAAGTGCACTACACTTCATGGTTGAGGTGAAAAGGAGGAAGACGAGAATCTGCAAGTACAATTTGGACACGCAAGAAATCAGCCGGATCAAACTACCACTTAGCTGCTCTTACCAGTACGTGGGGTGTCGAGTTCTGCTCACAAGTACACAATATGGTGGATTGGGATGTGCTAGATTGGAGAATTCAAGGCTCCACCTGTGGTCAAGGGAGGTTGGTTCCGACGGACTTTTGGTTTTGGAATGGGCACAAACTAGAGTTGTTGAGCTCGAAACGATGCTCCCTTCTATTAACCCCCTTCTCTGTGGCTACCTTTGTCGATGGAGTTGGAGTCTTCCTCGTGACTACAGCTGATGGATTGTTCAGTATTGATCTAGATTCGACCGAGCGACAAAGGTTTGTGAAGGCAGAGAAATCAACAATCGGCCTGTTCGGGTTGGCTGGTTAATATCGTTCTTTGGTTCATTTATGTGAGAAAGAAATCATCACTGGTTTGGTTCATATGAATAGTATCCATGTGAGGGGGCTGGCCGGCCAGCCTAGCCAGCCAGCCCCAGCCGATCGGGCTGAATGTTGTTCCCTACGTGAGCTTCTGCAGCACAGGTACAACTTTGCTTACTTCCTTGTCAATTTTTTGTGAAATCATAAAAAAAATTAACGAATGAAATCATAAAAAGTTCACTTACTAATATTTCAGTGGTATGCTTACTTTATGGTTTGCCAATAAGAACTTGCCAATATTCTACCTTAATGAGATGACGCGCAGTTTGAGAAAAAAAAAAGAACTTGCCAATATTAGAACTTATGTTTCAGTTAGTAACAATAAAAATATAAAACCAAACATACCATTTTATGTTGGCTCATCAACATGATTTTGTGGAAATGGGATATCTGTATAACTGTGTTAATCCAGCCTAAATATTTTGCTTATGGAGTCCTTGCATCTAGGGTCCATGCCAACATTTGGCTTGTTAGTTGGACCAAACAAATTTTATAAAATTGAGTAGCATGCTCGGAAATATTTTCATCTCCCTCAATATTCCCATTATCACTTTGCATTCAGAAAATGGTATTCTTTCTTTTTTTTCCCCATTATCCACCCTATGAAAGAACTCAGTATTATTATCTCCTTTAAGCAGCCAATTAGAGTTGGCTCTTCTGTGCCAATAACTTTCCTCTTCTTCAAAGAATTTATTTAACTCTCCTTGAATGAAAGATTTTCTCTCCAGAGGTTGGCAGGTAAATTGCTTTCCTCTTCAAGATCTTCCAACTCCTCCAGCTCTTTTTGCAAAATATATCTATACTTTCTGTTATGGCCTTCAATATTTTGCCCCCAACCCTTCAGAATATTCTTAATCCTGTTTATATTGATACACCACCTCTCAACACTGTTTTTAGCTTTTACTTCTTTTTCCCAGATCGCAGCGATCTTGGGCATAAAGTCATGGTGTTTTAGCCAAGAGTTTTCAAAAGGCTTTGTAGTTTTTTTAGTCTCCTGCTCATTACTGTATATGAGCGGATTATGATCCAAGCTAAATCTAGGGATTTTCCTCATGTTACAAAAGGGGAAATCAGTTTTCCAATATTTCGACATAAGACTCTATCTAATTTCTCAAGAGTTGGTTCAGATCTGTTAATGCTCCAAGTGAATTTGCCTCCATTCAGGTTCAGGTTCATCTCTCTGAGCTCATATGTGTTAATAATAAGATTGAACAACTCAGAATATCAATTATTCCCAAACTTTTTGTTTCTTTAATCACTAAATCTTAGAATATTAAAGTCACCACCCATAAGTAGGGGGTACTTGGTTTTTACACACATGTTTGCCAGTTCATAAAGGAACTGATCTTTTAGCTCATCCTGGGCAGGGCCATAAACATTGGCTAGCTACCAGTTTTTTGTAACTTTTTTTTCAAAAACATTCACAATTATCACAAAATCCCCACCTTCAAAGTTCTCCAGTTCAAAATCCTCACATCTTGTACCACTCAACATCCCGCCAGATTTCCCTCTAGCAGCAATCCAATGCCACAAAAAATTCTTTTCAAATCTAACTCTATAAAAAATTTCTCAAAGTAATTCTTATTCATAGTTTCTTGGATGCCAACAAAATCTGCTGAATAATCCCAAATAAGGTCTTTAAGAAAGACACTCGTCCCTTTCTTAGAGACACCCCTACAATTCCAAATAATCCCTTTCATTTATGTAGTTTTTTGATTGGTCTTCTATCCCTGAGATTGAACCTAGGGCGAACCTTGGATTCTTCTCCTTCAGAGTCTGGAGTTCCAACAGCAGGTTGGGTTTCCTGGTCTCTGACTTGGCATCTTTTATTATTAGCCTTTCTAGCACTTTTTTCCTTTCTTCTTCTTCGTAGTAGACTTTATAACTGAACAGACCTCTTCCTCAGACTCCTCAGTCTGCCAACTCATTAAATTCAAACTATTCAAGGGAGGAATTTCCTCCTGCACTTCAGGTGCAGCATTTTCTAGGCTACCAGGTTTGTTCAAATCATTTTTTCAGCAAGATTTATTAAATCAGTAGAAGCTAGAATTGCAAAGGAGTTCTCAGATGAGATGGAATTACCTTCAGTACTTGTATGCTCTCTATGACAGCTAGCTTTTTCTTCACTTGTCCTCCAGAGTCTTCCTTGTCCTTGATTCTGAACTTTGTCTCGCTTGTTGCCAATCCTCTGCATTTATGATAGACTTGACCATCTGCAGTCCACTATTGCCTTTACCCGGCTGAACCATTTTTGTGTTGTCCCTTATCTCCACTTCCTGGCTATTCCTTTCTTTCCTATTCATTTCTTCTGAGTATGTCTATTCAGTTTCCTTGGCCTTTTCCTTCTGTGAGAAGTTCTCTTGACTAGATATGTCATCTATGGGGCCTCTTGACTGCTTTTTGGACGGCTTAACGATATGGCTCTATTCTTAGACATTTCTTCCTCTTTTTCTTCAATGATAGTGGAAATTTCTTTGGTTTTAACTGAATCATCCTGGCCACAAGTGCTCTGTCCAAACTCAGAGAAAGTACTACTTGAGTTTTTTGGTCATGGCAGTTTTTGCTTCAATAGCTGCCAATGGATCAAACTTTGATTTGAAGAGACTGGACCCATATTCATTGATTACAGTGAAAGAATTCTCATCAAAGCTCATGTGACTGAGTTTTCTGATTTCCACCTTTTCAAAATTCCCAAACACTAGATTTTCACTTCCTGGCTTGATGTTTAAATCTATGTTCGATAAGTGATTTTGTTTAAGTGTGATTGACAAGGGTGATCACTGGATAATACATTAGGTGCTGTTATTGGTTCCTGTGGTTCATTGGTAACCAATTTTCATTGAGGCAGACCAAATCCTCAATTACCTTATGTAATTCTAATTTTGCAGCACTGGGTACGGCCTTTATAGGGAAGGAACCAAGTGTTGGTGTATGAAGTCATGAAGAACTCATTTCTTGTGGTAGAATGAAGTGTCTAGTGATCATCCTAAACAGCATGTGTGGTTTTGTGGTGGGAGAGCTATTTTGCAGTTCGTGATTTTGCTGCTGTTTTTCCCCTGATGGCCTTGATGTTTTCTGGATTCTTGTGTAAGGAATGGGTAGCAGTCTCAAAGCTGTAAAGCTACTAGCTTGGTAGCTGGTATGAAGCTTACGTGGACTTGTCTGTAAGATGTTGTCCTGAGCAACATCCTACTCTATGTGTTTCAGAACTTGAGCTTGCAGTCAGAGCTTGGAATGAAAGTATTATGTCTGAAATTACTGGTGCTTAGGAAAATTATCGTATACTCTATTTTCATGTATGCCATGTTAGTGCAGTAGTTTGGTTCAGATTCTCGTGGCTTCAAATTTGGTTGTATTAGTTACTACTGAGACATATTTACTGAACCTGCACTGTGTTGCTGAAATTTTTGTTACTCTCTTTGTACTATTGGTATGGTGCATTTGTATGGTCAGTTGTGGAATGGAAGTGTACAGCAGGCGGTGGGCATGAACTCTGCAGTTTAATGTGCAGTAATTGCCGAATTTGTCGGATTGACATTTGTAAAGAATACCGGCAACGTATCTCTACGGTTGTTCTTCATTTTCATTGAACGGAGAAAAATCTCTGCTTTTCATAAAGCTGTTACAAAGTTAAGCTTGTGTTACCAGCGTCAAAACAAACAGTTGTTCTTACTAGTTGCAGCTTTCAGCATTTGGAACGCATTGGGTGCAAATGAATTGAGCTTTTGTTGGGTGATTGCTGGTGACCATTTCAAATGGCACTAGCAATTGCAATAACCTCGAGTGCAGAAGAAGCTGCTGGATGGCAAGCCGAACTCAAATCAAGGGGTCTGGCTTTCGGGTGGGCCTCCGTGTTCCGTCGTCGAAGGCGCAATCTGGGCCGGCCTGGCCCATTGGAACTCGGGCCATGAGCCTGACCTAGCACTAGCAGAGACAGACACCCTTCCCTCGAGTTGGTCGAACCAGACAACGGAAGTGAGCCGGTCCTGCGATAATGGAGATTGGGCCATTCCCCAATCTCCAGCCAAGCCAATCCAAACCTTAGCTAGCTCCACTCGACTCCTGTCCCGCGACGAGGCAGAATGGTAGTGGCGGTGGCGGCGCTGGTGGAGATGGACGAGCTCGTCGACACGTTCCTCCTTCGCCTCCCATCGGACGTCCCCACAGGCCTTGTTCGCGCCGCCCTCGTCTGCAAGCTCTGCCGCCGGTTCTGTGAGTGGAGAATTTTTATTTTTTTAATCCTTTTTTAATTAATATTTTAATAATAATTGCTCCTAAAATTTTTTTTTGCAGATTTGACCATTTTGGTCGCGTATATTATTGGCGCGACCAAATAACGTTGTCGCGCCACATGCATTGGCGCGGCAATATCCACCACGTTAGACGGCACCTCCGACGTGGAAAACGCTGTCATGCCACTCCCGCTGGCGTGACAGTATTGTTCCGTTGCGCCACCAGGAGTTGCGTGACAAGACAAAACTTTCGAAAAATCATAACTCTTTGATACGACGTCGAATGAAGATGAAATTAATATGAAAATTGTAGCTCTCTATGAGATATACAACTTTGTAGTTTTGAGTTTTTTTATTTAAGGACATTAAAATACTCAAAAAATTAATATAAAATTTTAGGAGCATAATAATCGCGTACAAGTGCTTGTCACATTAAAAAGTTATATTATTTTTGTACGGTATCAAATTGCAGGATCTCTGGTACGCTTAGAGTGGGGTGAATAGGCCTGTAAAAATTCAAGTCAAATCGAAGTCAAATTCACCCGTGGCACCGCCGCGCCCGCAGGAGAGATTAGTTCACAGTTCAAAATCTACGCAACGAAATTCAGATCGGGTATATTT